TAATTCTCTCTTCCCAGCCTTTCCTATCACTTCTATCCCAGTTACTTATTCTATCCCACCCTCCCCATTACTACTTCCGTTTCCAGAACTCGTCATTTCTCCCTTACCAGCCAACCACATCAATTTTCACCCAACCCAACTTCTCCCTACTCCACAATCCCTTCTCCATTTACATCCTGAACCTGTCATTGTCTTGAAATATGACCTAAACACGCCATACCTGAGCATTCTTTCCTTTCCAATCCTACCCATCACTTCTCTCCAATATCCTACCCATCACTTCTCTCCAATATCCTACCCATCACTTCTCTCCAATATACTACCCTTTACTTCTCTCCCATATTCTACCCATCACTTCTCTCCAACATCGTACCCATCACTTCTCTCCAATATCCTACCCATCACTTCTCTCCAATATCCTACCCATCACTTCTCTCCAATATCCTATCCATCACTTCTCTCCAATATCCTACCCATCACTTCTCTCCAATATCCTACCCACCACTTCTTTCCAATATCCTATCCATCACTTCTCTCCAATATCCTACCCATCACTTCTCTCCATATCTATCCAACGCTACTCTCCAATATCCTACCAATCACTTCTCTCCAATATCCTACCCATCACTTCTCTCCAACATCATATCCATCACTTCTCTCCAATATCCTACCCATCACTTCTCTCCAATATCCTATCCATCACTTCTCTCCAATATCCTACACATCACTTCTCTCCAACATCCTTTCCATCACTTCTCTCCGATATCCTATCCATCAATTCTCTCCAATATCCTATCTATCACTTCTCTCCAATATCCTATCCATCACTTCTCTCCAATATCCTATCTATCACTTCTCTCCAATATCCTACCAATCACTTCTCTCCGATATCCTATCCATCACTTCTCTCCGATATCTTATCCATAAATTCTCTTCAATATCCTATCTATCACTTCTCTCCAACATCCTTTCCATCACTTCTCTCCGATATCCTACCCATCACTTCTCTCCAATATCCTACCCATCACTTCTCTACAATATCCTACCAATCACTTCTCTCCAATATCCTACCCATCACTTCTCTGCAATATCCTACCCATCACTTATCTCCAAATCTATCCAACACTACTCTCCAATCCTAACCCAATCCATTCCCTTTCCCCCATACCATTCCTGTCTTTCGTTTCTCCCACCCCAACTTATCACATTTCTTCATTCCAATCCTGCCTTTTCTTTCTCCATTCCCAACCCTACACATTTCGTCTCTCCCAGTCCAATCCCAATCCTGCATTTTTTCTCGCTTTCCAACCATACCGTTTCTATTACCCGGCCTTTCCATCTTTGCCTGAAGCTCCCTTCCCACTCCTTCCCGTAGCTTTTCCCTTCCCTTCCCCGTACCTACAGCTCTCTTCTCCTTCACCATCATCCCTTCTCTTACTGGCAATTAATCCCTTCTCCATTTCCCTCCTTACTGGTCCCTTTTTCCTACTCCTACCATCTGCCTCACTACCCCTACACAATCTCTTTTTCACTTCTACTCATCCCTTCTCTTGTCAAACCCTTACCTCTCATTTCAGCGCTAGAAACAACTTCCTTTCCAGGAATCGATTTAATTTACTAACATTAACCTATTTCAGATATACGCATAATGTATATACATGTAACATGCTAGGTTTAACTCGTTTAATCGATTTACAAGTGTTTTAAGTTCGGTTCGTATCATCCTTTCGTTTAAAACATTTGTTAACGTAAAATTTAAATAATTTTTCTGAATCAGACTTGTTTCTATTTTTCATTTTTATTTCTATTTTAATCTACAGCTCAGGATACAGTAAAATATGTGGGGGTAAAAAAAGGTTAAAATTACAGCTGCCTGAAGTATGTGCTAAGGGGGTATAATAGGGTGAGTACTGAGTATAACAACAACAGAAATTGGGGGGCGAAGACCCCCAAAAAAATTTTGGGCCTCAAAGCAAATTTTTGGGTCTAATTTTAAATATTTTACCTGCAAAATACCTAATTTATTGCGACTTTTGATTCAAATATCTTTCAGCATAAATATCTGAATAGAAAATTAGAAAATACTGAGTATAATTGACACTTTGGGGATGTGAAGGGGAGGGTATGTGGAGGGGAGGGTTTGAGGAGGGGAGAGTATGTGGAGGTGACAGTATGGGGAGGGGAGGGTATTAGAAGGGGAGGGGAGGTTATGTGGAGGGGAGGGTATGTTTCGGGGAGGGTATGTAGGGAGAAGGTATATGGAAAGAGGGAGAAGTGAATTGGGAGGTTGCGTGATGACATTTCTTAGTAATTTTATCAAGATCATTTTTGATTTTTTGTATCGAGAATAAAAAATCATGCTTTAATCTTAGGGTTGAATTCAATTTTTGTTTCAAAATTCATATGGAAGAATAGAATTAAAACCAAATCTTTCTTAGATCAAGTAATGTGACGTCTTCTAAATCAAATTTGCTTAAAAAGTTCATATCTTTATGAACTTAAATGAAAAATTATGATGCAAATCTCTATTTGATTCGCCATTAAATGTCAAAAAATTCTTATTTGGATAAAACCCGCAAAAATATTCTATCTTTAAATTCTTCTTTGATGAAAGTAGGAGCATTGACGAAGTGGGGGCCGGGGGGGGGGGCAATTAAGGAAAATGAAAACCCCTGGAAAATCAGCTTGTAAAATAGTTGAGAAATCAGGTTTCTGAGGCGGGCATCCAGCTCAGTGGAGATTTTTCAAGATAACAAGTTCATTCATGCAACATTAGCTTAACAAATCAAATATTTAACCAGAAAATCTACTTAATTTCCGCACAAAATTTAAATATCGGAGAAATAAAAAATGCTCTCAGAAAATTAAAAAAAATTAAGTTCAACAATTTTGGCGTGATTGAGCTCTATATTTATACAAACTGGCGCAAACCCTCGCTAAAGAAACAAATTATGGGTATTGTGCAAAAACCAACATAAAAAATATCAAATCATAAACGCCGACAAATCATACAGACAAGAAATAGTCATAAAATTCACACTTTCAAGTGTTAACACATTTTCCATAAATTTGGGGTTTAAATTCAAAATCCAAATTTCTCTAGTTTGTACAGTTTTTGTAAATAAAAATATTAAATGCATGAGACAGAATGATGTCATAATCCAGATATTCTTGAATTACAGGATTCAGCTTTTGTTTATATTAATTTGATATGTTAACGGCAGACTTGAATAAATAAATCTGTTCAACAGTTTGATGAGTGAGTTTACAGAAAAACAAAAATTTAATGCAAAATTTAAAAATTATTAGTAAGGCACAAACAAATTGTTTACTGGCATCTTAACACCCTACCCATTTTCTCTTAAAAGTGGGGTCAAAGTTTAAAAATCGAGTGCAACTTAAATTATCACTAAAATAATTAAACCATCAATTTCTGATTCCCTCTTAATATGTAATAAGATTAGGTTAATACTTTTACACCTAACGATTCGGTGTGTGCATTAATATTAAGATTTTATCTACTGATCTTAGATATTTGCTAGTTCAGCGAATACGGTTACTTTCGGTGCAAATACAGTTCATGCGAATAATCATTTCAGGTATAAAGAACTGAAAATAGCTGCTTAAAAAATCTTTATATATGTTTAAAGACAAATTTGAAACTATTTTTGATTTTCAATTTCGAAAATTTTAGGGAGAGGGGGGGAGGACTGAGAACTTTAATTAGCACGTTTGTAATACTTATAGCCCTTCTTCTCTATAAAATAATTTCTTACCCAGTAATAAAACCATTTTATATTTAAAGTATGATCTAGGAAAAGATTTTTTTCCAAAAATATATCAAACCTTTTTTTGCTAATTTTTATGACGTTTTTAGACACCGAGACAAGCTGAGAATCCAGATTAACCTGGTGTAGATAAGACAAGAAAACTTTCAAACAAGAAAACTATTTTACAAGTGAATATGCTTTGAAGAAAAGGGAAAACTCTTAACTCTTATTGGCCTTTGAATCCTAGTTCACAGAGTTACAGACAACATGGAAAATTATTCATCAGATGTTATGACCGGGTAAGTGTTGCATCGCCTAGATTTTTGATTTCACCATCTTTATTGTGGACTTTTTCATATATATTCATTTTAAACTATAGTTTCAGTCTAAAAGGAGTTATTGGTAAGTCAAAGATTGATTTTTTTGCGTAAAAGCGTACACCTGTATACTTTGGTTGACAGTGAGTAATTACGAAATGCTTTTTGCAGGTTTTCAGTTCTAAAACCAGTATTAAAAGCATTCCGTAAAATTTGTGTACACTGGATACACTATAGATTAGAGCCCGTTCCTTCATCATAATGTTTAAACAGAGCCGGTTCTATCTATAGATAGTCGTCGTGTAGTTCACGTACTTTGGGGGGCGATATGTTGACCGCTAGATGTCTCACGCAAAATTCTTTTCTGATAGATAGATAATTCATACGAGAGACATCTAGCGGCCAAACTGTAGTCCCCATGGCGCTGAGTCCGAACATTATTGCAACCCGAGACTGTGCGTGAACTTCACGACCTCTGTCTATGTAGAGAACGGGCTCTAGTAAGAAAACGAAGCGCAAAGTAAGACGAGGTAAACATTGTGGAAAGGCACGGTTTAGCCCAAAAAATGTATGAATTCAGATGAAACGCCACAAAGATTTTTTCTACAAAACTAATATTTTAAGTGAAAAAAAAAACACTTTTTCGTGGAGGGAGAACCAATAAAGATTTAAGAGAGAGAAACCCCTAGGATAATTCGTTACGTACGCGTCGATAGGAAGCTAAAAAAATATTTTGTAGAATGTTCAAACTTTAAGAAACAAAACCTGAAAAAATGTATTTAAAAAATTTTGAAGGGGTGTGGATGAGGAAAGCATTTATCTCCGAATTTAATTCCGGATTATTCTGGAACACAATCTTGTTATATTAGGATATTAAATCCTGTATAGGCATTTCCCTGAGAAATTTTCTTACCTTAGATCGGTGATAAAAGTAAAAAATCTTCATCTTACGTCCACAGATATCTGAAAATATTAATTATCAACATGCAGAGCTAGACGTTTTGAGTGATTTTTAACCCCCCCCCCCCCTTAATTTTCTGACAAAATGGGGAGGGAGGGGGGGAGATAGAACTTCATAATTTAAACTTTTAGTTCCTTTTTCCTTTTATATTCTTGTACTTTCCAAAAAGATCACAATATATCAAATTCTAGAATTGTTTTTAGGTGGAGTGGGTAAAAGATTTTTCAAGAAAATATTAGCCCCTGAAATATGTCAGGATTAAAGCTTTTTCAGGTCATGCTTATATCTCAATGCAAAGTCTTTGATTCAGATTTTCTATTTGCATCTGTTTAGAGTTCTGTTTTTTCTTACACTTTGAAATGTGGGAAAAACACTTCTCTTCCATATTTGATTCCCTACGAACAAATGTAAAGTTTACGGCACTATAAGAGGTAAAAATATACTTTCTGCTAATTTATTAAAAAAAAATAAGTAACCAAATAAAAACAGAATAATCTTTTTTAAAAGTTTCCGAAATAGAAATAGGGTTTCATTTCACTTATCTTCAGTTTGGAAACTGCTGTGGTTAGCGTACACTTGTACAATTCGTACAGTAAACACTGACAGTACAAACTATTGAGTACTTTTACATTTTACGCCATGCATGGACTAAATTACCGATATTTTCCAGGGGTGGCAAAATAAATGAAAATGATTTTTATCCCAAATTATTAGTATTTTTTGTCAAAAACTTTAGACGGTCAGCATCGACAGGATCAGGAGGAGGGAAGTGTGGCTCCAACTTATAAATTTCTTCTTTGAAAAAAAAAATAAAAATAAAATTCATTTCGTCTGATCCAAGGAGTATTTAATAGAAGGAAGATACAATTGACGCGGCCCGCCGGCCGCCATACCATATGATTATACATGCTTTGCAGACGGTACCCCATTTGTATATGAAATATTCAGAATAGGTCATTGTATACGCGGTAATTGTACATCAGANTTTAGTATAAAGTATGCTCGACATGTGAGTCGGCTTTATTTGTTGTTTAGGTTTGGGTGTTCAAATGATACGAGATATTAGGTACTCGTAGAATTTCGATATATTCCATATATATATATACCCAATAAACGTAAACTATATATTTTTCTAACCAATAGATAACTGGATTTGTACAAATAAGCAAGAGCTCGATAGAGATAAAAAATGAAATTTTTTCCGAACGCCGACCAAATACCAAAAAGTAAGGAAAAAATTTCTTATTCAAATGGAGTACCACTACCGTCTGCAAAGCATGTATATAGTATAATCATATGGTAGGGCGGGCCACGTCAGTTTTATCACCTTTCTTTTTAATAATCCTTGGTCTGATCAGGTGGCAACACCACAGCTTTGTTTTTTGAATTCTTAAAAAAAATCAAATGAACCCTTATAACCCAAAACCTAACAATACTAAAGCTTCTGAAAAGGTTTACGTATTCTTGTGTATATTTATGTAAACCTTCGTATGCTCAGTTTTTTTTATGAAGAACTTGCGTTTATTTACACTTTTTACGTACTTATCATACCAAGCGGTTTTTTTCAAGTGCTTAGGCAATTGCCAGAAACGTATTTTTACGAATATGTGCGTATACTTTTTAACAAGTAACATTTTAAAGTTTTTAGGTTTTTATTTTACGTATTTTTACGTATTTTTTCAGTTTTTTTCTTTACTAAAAATTAGGTGTTAAAAGGGTTTAAAAATTTGAGGCAAACCTGAAAATAAGTATATTTTTGTAAATTTCATACCAAATAATTTTTCCAAGTTTTTAGGTTTTTATTTTACGTATTTTTACGTTTATTCTATACTTAAAAAATTATTTTTTAGAGATTATAAGTTTGATACAAACCTTAAAAATACGTATATTTTCGTAACTACAGGGTGTCCCACGAAACATGACAGTTGGTGAATAGTTTAGAATGTCTTTTTCCATTATTTGTCAAGTTATTTGATACCAAAGATCAATAAAAATATTATATGGGAGTCATGTTATATTAAAATTGATTTCAAAGTAAAATATTATTAAGCAAAATATTTGTTTAAATAAAAATAACTATTTATAAAATGTCATGTTTTGTGGGACACCCTGTATCATACCAAGTTATTTTTCTTAGTTTTTAAAGTTATTATTTTACAAATTACGTGCTTTTCGATTTTTTCATAACTTAAAAATTTGTATTTATTAAAGTTGAAAAGTTTGATGTAAACCTAAAAATACGTATATTTTCGTAAATTTTATGCAAACTAATTTTTCTATAGGAACCCTAGGAACCCTTAAAGTTGCCGGTCCCTGTCTCTAGTTTGCGCTCCTATTTTCAAAGGAGTAACGTCCCAAATTAACTCTATCTTTAAATTGAAGAGAATGTTCCCCTAAATTTACCCCAAATATTCACCTCACTTTCGATTAAGTTAAATGTTTGGGGTACGTATGGCACTAAATAAGAATATATAAAGGTCAAAAAAAAATTTTTTTTAAATTTAAAACTGGATCTTTAAATGTGTACTTTCTCCATGATTCAAATTCTGAATATTGTTGACTCAGACATGAAACAGAACTGCATAGAAGCCCAAAAGTATTTTAAATGGTTTGAATATGGATTTTAACTTAAGCTGGCACTTTAAGATCTTTAATTCACAAAAGATTATCCTCCTGATTATATCTTGGCAGAGGGGCATGTATTTTTATAACATAAAACCACCCTGACTCAATCATTTTCAATCATTTTTATTCAACCAAGCTGAAAACTTTAGAATAGTGGATATTAAGATTAATGCTCCGACCAAGGCTAGCCTGATCAGATACATTGCCCTGGACCCCATTAGGCCAGAATTCGAGGTGTATGAGAACATGGGGGCTTATACCGGTCTTCCTGATGCCCTTTTCG